AAGAGCAATGAGATACGGTACCATTAGCCCGAAGAAAATACAGAAATTCAGAATCCAAGTACTCTTTAACATTATCAGAATGAAATATTTTAATAGTATGAGAAAACTGAGTGTGAACCATGGCAGAGAAATCATAATAAATCTGTTTAAGTTCAGATCGATTTTTGAGGAAAAAAAAACCAAGTATAACGAGAAAAATCATCAAAAAAAATCACAAAAAATCTTAACCCCCCCATGGTCAGTGTGGGGGAAGGCCCTCAAATATCTGAATGCACAAGATCAAAATGAGTAGTAGACATAGAAGTACTGTTATTAAAATATAAAGCAGGTTGTTTAGCAATTTGACCAGATAAACAATCGACATCTTCAAGACAGACATGACCTAACTGACCACTAGAAACTAAAGTTTTCAAACGACTAAAAGAGACATGTCCTAAGCGACAATGCCAAAGCTGTAAACAAGGCAATGAGGACGTAGATGCAGTAGAGGAAGCAATGAGAGTAGCTGTAGATGATGTGAGGAGAGCAACAGTAGATGATTTGTGAGGAATGCAAAGATGGGTAAGCTCGAACAGACGTCCATGTTTACGGCCTATCCCAAGGATTTGTCTCGTTTGAGGGTCCTTCACCAAACAACCATTAGCAGAAAAGGTAACGGTTAGACCAAGTTCACATAACTGACCAACAGAGATAAGGTTCAAGTAAAGAGCAGGAATAGAATGTGATAAACATCAGAAAAAGACACGGTAGAAGTAAAAATGTGACCAGTGTGACAGACAGTCATATGAGAACCATCAGTAGTGTGTATGATGGGGACAGAGGACAATGATGATAGAGAAGAAAACATAGTGGAGTCAGAAGTCATATGATTACAGCATGTGGAATCAAAATACCAGGGAGAATTACCTGAAGTAACTGAAAGAGCAGTAGAGGGAGGAGTACCAGATTTGGTAAGCACTTGTTGGATGATGGACTGAACATCATCCATAGAGAATGAAGGAGTAGCAGAATCAGTGAAGTGGTGAGGAGAAGAACCCCCAGAGGCAACAGCAGTAGAGTGAGAACCTTGGCCAGATTTAGACTGATACCCAGAACGAGAAGATCCTTTCTTAGGTGGGGCTCGAGGACAATGGCGTTGGAGATGACCAGGAGCAATCTTACGGCAAGTAAAGCATTCTTGAACCTGGCATTGAACAAAAGAATGAATAGCTGGCAGGCCACAGTTGGAACAATGCTGGCATGAACTAGCGGGCTGTGAAGATGAGGAACTTTGTAAGGATGGCGTAGCAATAACAAAATCCATATGTTGAGATTTGAGAGTCCCAAATCGAGTCTCCTCTGATAATAGTTTCAGTAATGGCTTTGCTCTAAAGTGGGCAAGGGTAAACGATAGAGCAATGAAGCACATATGGGCTCAAAAGTGCTATGAAGAGCCATAAGGAACTGTAATAGTCGCTCAGAATATGCCCATGTAGGCTCATAAAGAGCTAGCTGGTCCCAAACAGACGACATCTGGGATAAGAATTCATTGATAGACTGACCGTGTGCCTGGCGCATGTGATGAAGAGTCTATAACAGTTGATTTTGATGAGCATGACCAGTGGTCTGATAACGGTCCCTCAAGAAATCCCAAATTGCTTTGGCAGGGGAAGTAATTTGAGCATTATCTTGGAACCGGCCAAACTAGAGATGAATGGAGGGAACTAAGGTAGCTCGGAACCAGACGATAATTTGATAATTCTTACTTTTCCATTCGTTAAGACGGTCATCGAATGCAGAGTCAATCTCATCCGCTTTCTGGTTAGGTTTAGGAAGAGCACCAGTAATGATATGCCAAAGGCGTTTTCCTTTGATAAAGCTAGAGAGAGCTTGGGCCCAGCTAACATAATTTAACCCATCAAGGATAACAGAAACAGAGTAGATGTGACGTCCTAAAATTCGGGAACATCAGATAATATACTAACCATTAAATACAGGGTTTATCTAAGGTTACAAGAGTAGGGAACGTCACTAATGAGTCCTTTGGATAATAACCAAGCAAGATCCCAGGAAGGTCAGAGGAGCCAAAATAGTCTTCCTTCAAAGTTCAACCACCTTAGATAGCAAAACTACCTTTTTGACAGATCTTGACAAGGTATTAACACAAGCCCTACATGAGTTGACGGGGTATAAGGATAGGTTACAAATGTTATATACATCCAAATTACAAAATCATGTCTTAAATACAACATGGGATCTATCACTTGCAATCTCAAAACATGTTTACAAACTAGTTTCTAATCCTCCTAGGGTAGCCGTACGTCCTCAAATGCTTCAGCTTTGCCTTTGACCGGTCTAATAGTCTTCAATACCTGGTGAGAGGGAGAATTGCGCCGAGATAAGTACGGCCGAGCTACACTAACGCAAGTTATCACGACCGAACTGTTTGCTCGGTCGGAGCGGCTCTACGGGCTGTCATGCAGGGCCAAGCTGGATTAATCGACCGGAGCATGGGGTCATTCGTGTTCCTGACCGAGTTGTGATTCAGCTAGGCATTTGGCTGGGCATTCGTATTCCTGACTGGGACTGGACCAAGCATAGCCCAGAATGAATTTAGACTAGGGCGAAGGCTGGTGCGCCTCAAGGCCAATCAGTCCGGAAGGACCGACTTCTTACAGCTCGGCCGTATTGACCGTAGCTCTGTTTCTTCAAGGGATAGGTCGGTCTTGATATCCCGGTTGAGTGTGCCACCTGGGCCAACGATGTGGTGGAGGCCAAAACTCGCTCCAAGCCGCGTCAATACCGTTTGACAGTTCTATACGTACTGTTTGGAGGTTTTGGCCTTTACATGTGTAAGGTGGTGAGAGGCGAGCACTGCCACTTGTCCAGGGAAGGATAGTAGAGGTAGCGCGTGCACAATCCCTGAGGCTGCATGACCAGCCTAAAAAAAGAAAGGAAGGGGAACGTTGGAGGTAAGCTGTCTAAACAACTCTCTCTCTCCAAAAAGATCTCTCTTCTTCTTCAAGTGATCTGACTTGATTGTCGGAGAGTCTATCCGGCAACACACTGCCGGGCAGCTCATCGTTTCTTTGTTCCAGGTCAGACGTCGTTATGTAAAGCTTGAGTTCAAAGAGTACGGAAAGCAAAGGATATTTCGTCCCCGTACAATTGGCGCCGTCTGTGGGAAGCATTTGATATACAAACCTTGCTCTTCAAGCTTTTTTGATCGTTTCATGGCTAACAACAACGAAACTTCACTGTTCGTCGTCGATGGTGTCACACCAGAGTCTGTTCGGGGGAGAGAAGGCCCACCAAATGTTCCAGCCATGGCGGGCCTCGAGACTTCTTCGAGAGCTGCACGAGACAAACGCAGGAGGAGTACTAATCGCTCGAAGAGTCCAGAGGGCCATCAACGGCGGGGGGAGTCCCATGCACAGCGCCTGGAGCACAAACTCAAAGACCAGGATGCCCTCATTCGTAAGATGGCGGCTGAGATGGAGATGCTGAAATGCCAGATTAAGGGGAAGGGTGTTGCTGGAGAGGGTAACCTCAGTGAGCGCACCCCGTCTCCTCATTCTAGCAGTCATCGCCAGGAAAGGACGCACTCTCTCTCTATCACCAGGAACTACGGGGTTGGAGACTCCGATCCAAGGGAAGGCAGGTCCCTCACTCGCGACAGCACCTACCGTCCCTCGCGCCCATCGTCGACATCGCGATACTCTTTTTCCACCCGTTTCGGAGACTTGAGAGATGTGTTGAAGGAGAGGGCGCGCCGTAGAGAGACTCACAGATTGCCGGCGTTGCAAAAGCTGAGCACCCAAATCCATTGTAGTGAGGAAGTGGCAATGCCAGCACCCAGGGTAGTGGCCCCTGCGCTAGTGGACAAAGAGCTGGTGAGACTCACGGTTACGCCGCTGTCTCCAGAAATCGAGAGTACACCACTCCCTGCTGGATTCCACCAGCCTAAGTTCACCTTGTACGACGACAAAACGGATCCGTACATGCACGTGAGTCATTACCGGTAAGTAATGGCTGGACACTGGCGGAATGACTCTTTGATGTGCCTGATATTCCCAGCAAGCTTAGGAGAACTGGGCCTAAAATGGTTCGAAAGGCTTCCGGAGGGGAGTATCGAGAGGTGGCAGCAATTAGTGGAGGCCTTCGTCAACAGATTCAAAACCAACACTCGAACACCGAAGGAGGTCGATCATCTTTTGGGCGTCAAGATGGAGTTTGGGGGTTCGTTGAAGGCATACAACACGAAGTACTGGGAAACTTACAATGAGATCATTGACTGCCCCACCAATCTGGCGATCACATAATACAAGCGGGGTCTCCCAGTCGGACATAGGCTGCGACATTCGCTTACAATGCACCAGCCCACAACCATGGAATCCTTGATGCAACAGATCAATGAACACATTCGTGTGGAGGATGATGCCGCTTCCACGACCGAGAAGGCTAATTCGGTCGCTGCGGATAGGAGGGTTGCGGGGAAGGTTCACTCGGTTGGGCAGGAGGGCAACCGCCCGAACGACCGGCCAAAAGATTAATGTCGTGGCTCAAACCGCGATGATAGAAACCAAGGTCGCAGAAGCGACCGAGATAACGCTCCCCATGACGAGGAGGAAGATGCCAAGAGAAAATTGAAGGCGCGAATCGGTATCACCACGGTCTTTAAAATCCCTATCTACCGCATCCTGAGTGAAATCCGAGGTGAGCCCTTCGTCCGCTGGCCGGCCAAGTTGGGAAGTGCAGAGAGAGGCTTCAACTCAAGATATCGCTGCACCTTCCATGAGGAACGGGGGCACCGAACGGAGGACTGCTTGCCGCACAAACAACATTTGAAGGAGTTGGTGGCGGCGGGACGTCTTGACCAATACATAGATGGGGGTATAAAAGCTGCTCCACCGGGCAAAACCGAGCCAAACGGCCTAGCCTCCCTTGAGGCAGCGCCCCAAGGCATAATCAATGTCATCCATGGCATCATTGAACCGGCAAGGGTCTGCGAGCTAAGAGGAATGATTAAGAAAGCCGAGCACATGAGGGAAGTACTCTCTGTTCAGCTCGCTATGAAGAAAGGAAAAACCGAAGAAAATGATATCCTTACCTTCTCAAGTAAAGACTTGGAGAGAATTCAGATGCCTCACAATGACGCTCTAGTAGTGACTCTTCGCGTCAAAGACTTCGACATCAAGAGGATCTTGATTGACCAGGGGAGTTCGGTCGAGATCATGTATTACGACGGGTTCAAGCAAATGAAGTTACAGGACAAGGACTTGGCCCCTGCGACGTCTCCTCTGGTTGGCTTCAACTCTCAGCCAGAATGGCCGGTAGGAAAGATCATACTGCCGGTCAAGGTGGGCTCGGTCATAAAGCAAGTTGAATTCTGGGTGCCCAAGGTCCCATCAACCTACAACTTAATCTTGGGCAAGGGTTGGTTGCACGCCATGCAAGCAGTAGCATCGACCTACCATCAGGTTCTGCGCTTCCCGGCGCCAATCGGGCGGATAGAAGAGGTCTGGGGAGATCAGGTGATGGCAAAACAATGCTTCGTCGCGGTGAACGGCAGCCGAGCCGCCAAAGAGTTTGTCCAAATGATAGAGGGACCAGAGGGAAAGGAAGTCTTGGAAGACATGGGGAGAAGGGCCGAAGAGAAATCAATTAAAGATTTGGTGGAGGTGCGCATGGACGAGAATGATCCAAATAAGTTCTTTCTCTTGGGCTCGTCCCTGTCCAGCGCAGAGCGGCATGAGTACGTTGACTTCCTGATTTCCAATATGGAAGCCTTCGCATGGACGCCTTACAATATGCCTGGCGTCAACCCAAATTTCATTTGCCACCGGTTAAACGTCTTTTCGAATGCGCGGTCGGTCATCCAAAGGACACGCCGCTCGGCCATGCACCATGCCAAGGTAGTGGCGGAGGAAGTCAAGAACTTGCTGGAAGCAAGGGCAATAGAAGAAGTGCAATACTCTCGGTGGATATCCAACACAGTGGTAGTTCCGAAAAAGAACGGCAAATGGCGGGTGTGTGTCAATTATAAGACGGTCAACCGTGCGTGCCCAAAGGATAGCTTTCCCCTCCCACGAATCGACCAGTTGGTGGACTTGACCGCTGGCCATGAGAGGTTTAGCTTTCTGGATGCATATCGCAGCTACCACCAGATAGCCATGTATGAACCAGACCGAGAGATCACATCGTTCACTACTCCTAGAGGCCTGTATTGTTATAAAGTCATGCCGTTCGAACTGAAAAATGTCGGGACAACTTTTCAAAGGATGGTGACCAAGATGTTTGCTCCCCTTCTGGGCCATACCATGGAGGCCTACATCGACAACATGGTGGTAAAGAGCAGGGAAAAGTCTCAACACCTCGCCGACCTAGCAGAGATGTTCGCTACACTAAAACATCATAAGCTTCGTTTGAATACTTCCAAGTGCACCTTCGAAGTCGGCACTGGAAATTTTCTGGGTTTTCTGGTCATGAACCGAGGGATTGAAGTCGACCCATCCCAAATCAAGGCTAGATAAGAGCTGGAGCGACCAAACTCCACGAAGGACATGCAACATCTCGCCGAGATGGCAGCCGCGCTGAATAGATTTATAAGCCGGTCCTCGGATCGTTGCAAGCCCTTCTTTAAAACGTTGAAGGCCAAGTTCTTCTGGGACGACGAATGCAACCGTGCGCTGGCGGATCTAAAAGTGTACCTATCCTCGGTCCCTATCCTGGTTACGCCACAGTCGGGCGAAGAACTGTATCTCTACTTAGCGGTCTCTCAACATGCGGTTAGCGCGGTTTTGGTCTGTGTTGAAGGCACCCAGCACCTTCCCATCTTTTACGTAAGCAAGACCTTGCTCCCTGCTGAATCGAGATATCTGCCGCTAGAGAAATTAGCCCTGGCCCTAATGATGGCTTCTAGAAAACTGGCACACTATTTTCATGCCCACACGATAGTGGTATTGACCGAGTTTCCACTCAAGGTGCTCTTTGAAAAGGCAAACTTTACAGGGAGAATTTTGAAATGGGCCGTAGAATTGGGGCAGTACGACATCAAGTTCCAACTGTATACCGCGATCAAGGCTCAGGCTCTTGCAGACTTTGTGGCGGAGTTTGCCCCTGGAATGCATCCAGTTTGCCCGGTTGATTTGGCTAGTGCGGATTTGGCACGGCCCATGGTGCAGGCAATAAAGATGAGTGTTGGGTCACAAATGGAAGAAGGACAAATGGCAGCCGAACTGGAAAAGCTGGATAACTCATCGAAAGACAAGCCTGACCGAGGCATGGAGGAACACCAGAACGAACCGACCGGAACCTTGGAGTTGAGAAGCTTGCAAAACCCATCGGATTGCTGGAAGTTGTTCATTGGCGAGATATGGAAGCTTTTCGTCGATGGGGCTTCCAACAGACATGGCGCTAGGCTGGGTATCGTGCTGACTTCCCCGTACGGGCTGGTTATCGAGTACGCAATTACACTCGGCTTCCCAGCGTCCAACAATGAGGCGGAGTACGAGGCCCTCCTTGCCAGACTAAGAAGTGCATTGAGAATGAAAGCGTCAACCCTTATGGTATTCAGCGACTCCAAGCTGGTGGTCAATCAGGTCTCTGGGGCGTATGAAGCCAGGGATGAAAGAATGATGAAGTATCAGGAGCTGGTGCGCGCAGAGATCAAGAAGTTCGCTGCCATAAGAGTGGAACAAATCAACCGTGAAGAAAACAACACAACTGACGAACTAGCCGGCCTTGCATCTACGCAGATAGCTTTCCCTAATCCCTTAATGATAGAATTCTTACCTCGGCCAAACATTGAGGAACCAGAAGTATCCGAGGTACTCTGCACCGACTTGAGACCTTCCTGGATGGACCCCATCATCGCCTTCCTAAAAGATAGAATTCTACCAGAATAAAAGAAGGCGGCCAACAAGATCCGGGCTAAGTCAGAGCGATTTTGGCTCTCTCCATCCGGAGCCTTATACAAGAAGTCTTTTACCGGGCCGTATCTGAAGTGCGTCCACCCCGACAAGGTGGAAGCTTTCCTTTATGAGATCCATGAAGGCATCTACGGAAGTCATACTAGGGGAAGGTCTTTAGCTTACCGAGCAATTTTTCAAGGTTATTGGTGGCCATGCATACAGGCGGACTCACAGAAATACGTTCGCAGGTGTGAAAAATGTCAAAAATTTGCTCACCAAATCTACCAGCCAGCCAAAGAATTGCTCCCCCTCATAAGTCCTTGGTCGTTCGCGCTCTGGGGATTGGATATTGTTGGACCGCTCCTAGCAGCTCCGGGCAATCGCAAGTTCTTCATCGCTGCTACCGACTACTTCACCAAGTGGGTTGAGGCCGAGCCATTGGCAATCATAAAGGAAAAAGATGTGAAGAAGTTTGTTTGGAAAAACGTCATCACCCACTTCGGTATACCGAGGGCCCTTATATCGGATAATGGCACTCAGTTCGATAGGAAACTCTTTCACGGATTTTGCGAGGAGTTAAAGATTGAGTTTTACAACTCAACACCGGCCTACCCTCAGTCAAATGGTCAAACAGAAGCCTCAAACAAGACCATCTTGGATGGGCTGAAGAAGCAGTTAGAGAAAGCCAAAAGGAAGTGGGCTGAAGAACTCCCTAACGTGCTATGGGCATACCGCACTACACCAAGGCGATCGACCGGGGAGACACCATTCGCCTTGGCCTATGGCATGGAGGCCGTCATCCTGCTGGAAATTAGTATGTCGACCATCCGGTCTGAGAGTTTTCAGCTGGACTTGAACAATGAAGCGGTGGCATTGGAGCTTGACCTAGCCAAGGGAAGAAGGGAACGAGCTCTAATCCACATAGCAGCTTATCAGCAAGAACTCTCCAGAAAATATAACAAGGCTGTGCATCTAAGGCTATTCAAGATAGGGGACTGGGTCTTGAGAAAGGTGATGGGCAACACGATAGTCCCCGGCGAAGGAAAACTTGGCGCAAATTGGAAGGGGCCATATAAGGTGACTGGCCTGGCAGGCAAAAGGGCATACCATCTGGAAGACTTAGATGGTAAAGCTATCCCCAGACCGTGGAATGCAACCAACCTCAAGATTTTTTACTTTTGAAATGTAATCGTTTTTGTTACATGGCCTTTCGAACTTTTAACCGTTGGGCATTTGATGTAAGGATAGCGCTGGTTTTTGTAATGAAAAATAGCCCTACTTCTTGTCTTATATTATGTCTTTCTGTACAATGGCATCGCAAGGATATTGGGCCACTGTGGTTGCCAGGGGCAAAGAGACCAACCTGCACTGGGCAGAACTGATTTTCTCTCGCCGAAATAGAAAGAGACCGTACAAACAGTTGGTGCATTGTCCAATTAAACAGTTGGTGTATTGTCCAAATTAGACAGTTGGTGTAATGTCCAACTTGCATAAGGGCCGAGCTGATTTTTGCTCACCCCAAAACGAAATGTTGGCGTTTTGTCCAACTTATAAAGGCCGAGCTGATTTTGCTCGGCCAAATGAAATGGAAAGGTGTTTATCCAACCTATAAAGGCCGAGATGATTTTGCTCGGCCCCTGGAAATATTGGTGTTTTGCCTAATTTACAAGGCCCAGCTGAAATTTGCTCGGCCGAAAGAAGTATTAGTGTTTTATCCAACTTATAAGAGCCGCGCTGATTTTAGCCCACCCAAAATGGAATGTTGGTGTTTTGTCTAATTTAGAAGGGCCGAGCTGGTTTTAGCTCGGCCGCTTTGATTTTTGCTTGCCCAAAATGACATGTTGGCATATTGGCAGCATCTGAGAGCCGAGCTGCCAGTTGTGATTCATGAACATTTCAAATCGAAAGAAATTTTGCACATTGCAACCACGCAGAAATAGTTACGTGACGGGCGAAAAGTAGAATTTTCATTGATAAAGTAAGCTGGGTTACAAAAGTGGGGCCAAGCCCGATTACATTCAAAAAAAAAAAAAAGAAGACAGAAGAGATCAATCTAAATCTAGAAGGACATTTTGTTCGGCCAGGCCCACCTTGGCATCTTCTGTCTCGGCATCAGCAACCGCGACAACCTCTTGCTCCGCCTCACGGTCCTCAGCCCCTTCAGAAGCTTCGGGGGGATTTGGCTCGGCTGGTTGTACGGCGGATGCCTCTTCCTCAGCTGCCTTCTTCGCCTCTTCAATAAGTCTTTTTTGCACGGCGCTAGCGTAGGCTTGCATATAGGCTGGGACGTAGGCGGCAGGCGGGTTTTGGAACATCTCGGCGTCTTGACCAAGGCCAACTTTTTCCACGGCAGCTTTCCAACCACACTGGAAAAAAGATGTCCTTGGTCGCTTGAACTTGCCGCTCATAAGTCCTTTCACCCTCTGCATACCCGCAGTCTTCAGCATCATCTACTGCCTTGTCCCTCTTGGCTTTGTGGGCATCCCGAAGCTTTCGCAGCTCGGCGAGGTAGCGAGCCTTTGTCAGCTGAACGGCCCTCTGCTTGTCTTCTTTAGCCCGAGCCATTTTCTGACTTAGTGTATCACGCTCAGCCTCTGCCACCTCCTGCGCGGCCTTCAGCTTAGTCAGCTTGGCCGTCTTGGCCTTGTTGTTGGATATTGCATCCCACAAACTTTGCCGCACGGCGATCATTCGCTCGTGGGCCAGGTAGTTTTTCTGCGCGGCCTGAAAGCAAATGGAGATTGTTAGAATTCACAAACCGAGCAAAAACTTGGTGAACAAATTAGTCTCTCAACTTACCAACACAATTGTTTTTGCTGCCGAGCGAAGCACCTTCAGGTCGGACAGCTCATCGTGCTTCTTCATGTCGGCGGGAAGGATCAGCTCCTTGATCATATTGAAGCCGAGAGAATAATCCTTGTTTGCATAGACTGAATCGGCCGCAAAGACAGCCCAACCCTTGTATTTGAACTCAGGCGACTAGACCGGGGGGGCACTTGGGCATTTGGATGGCCCGAAGATTGGTTGCTCGGTCTGGTCCTCCAAGTCAGTTGAAGCTTGCTCGGTTGGGTCCTCGTCCGCCAGATGCTGTCCGGCCATATCCTTCCTCTGTCTCTTCTTTAACCAGCCAGCTGCTTGTTCGTTGGCCAGAGCTAGCACAGCCCCCTTTTCTGGCGTCACCGGCGTGGAGGAAGTCCCCCCAGATGCCTCCGGTGGCTGGGACTCGCTAGCCTCACCGGTGATCATGGACTTAATTGCTCGAATCTTGGCCATTTCTTGCTCGGCTGTCAGTGGGACTAGTCTGATCGGTGGAAAACTTGGATCTGGTTCTGGAGATGGCGCACGCAGAAAGTCAGTTACCCTGCTCTTGCGCGGCGCTGTGTAATGGTAGGTCGGTTCAAAGCCGAGCAGCTTTGGTGATTCTCTCTCCTCGGCTGGGTGACACAGCAAAACCTTTATGGCTTCCTGGTTAGCGCGGGAGTAGTCATCTGCCAAAAGCTTGTAATCTGCAAAAAGATGAAGTTTTAGATCGGCAAGAGAAAAACCAATGCAGAGAGAAGATAATACGGTTCACCGAGCTACTCACCAGCACTCCCAAAATCTTTCCTAATGTACCAGCCCGGTATGGGCGCCTCGGTGTCCTCATAACGACCGGACACCCACAGGAAATCGTCGTCGTTGATTTCTTTGTTAGGATTACCTTTAATGAGCTTTGCTCGGCCTTTCCTGACTTTTAGATACCAGTAAAGCCCACCTTTATTTTTGCTAAGGGTATATTGGTGAAATATCTCGATGAGGCCGAGATTCAGATCGAGTATTCTATTTAGCTCGGTCACACCATTTATTATTTTGTATGTATTGTTGGAGACCTGGGTCGGACAAAGCCTCGTCTGCCTCAAAAACTCGCAGATCAAGGGCTGGACAGGGAAACGTAGTCCTCCTTCCACTATGGACACGACGGTGAAGCGACACTTGTCCAGCTCGCCCCATGGGGTATCCTCTTTTTTGGCCAGCTCTAGATGAACGTCATCCGGAATGTTATACTCTTTACGGAACTCGGCCATTGCCCTGGGAGAACACACCATGAACCGATATATTCCCATCTATCCCGATTTTAATTATTGGGCGATTTATTTCATACCTCGGTGAAAAGTTTGTGTTAGCTCGGACTTTGAGCTTCACCGGTAGTAATGCTGAACGGTCCTGGTCGGTCCTAGTTTGTTCTGCATTGTTAAGAAACAAATCCAACGGTTAGCGCGGCATAAATCGCACGGCTTCAAGGTGGAAGTCCCTAGCTCGGTAAAAGGTTTCTGGGCGTTTGACCGGTTCGACTCCTACCTCGGTGCGATTCTCTGGCCGATTTGGCCCTCCTTGTTCGGTTTCTGATTTTCAGCTCGGTCGAGGCCCCAGAAAGAGGCCATAAACGAGATTTTGCTCGGCTAACTCCTATTTATGGATCTAAACGATGAATTCAGCTCAGTCTTACGTAGGGTTCTAGCAGTTTATCCTAAATTCGAAGTTTGTGCATGGGTACTTGGAGAAACAAGGGGCATGGGAGCCTACCTACTTCTCTGATTCCAGTTCTTCCTAGGGTGTGCTGGTGTTGCCCCAAAGAGGGGGCACCAGTAAGATTCTGGCGGTCTAGTTGAAAATTTGGAGAAGCAGAAATGAAGAACACGAAGAACTCAAACGTAAAAAGACGAAGGGGGGTAGAGAGACTCACCGATATCGGGTACCAGGAAGAAATCGGCCAACCACGAGCTCGATTGTAGCTTCTAAAGGCGAAGGGTTGTAATGGTAGTGATGGTAGAGACTTGGTTGCTAGGGTCTTGCTCGAGAACGAATATGAACAGTAATGGCGTAAATGACCCCTCGTATGTGTATAAAAAATGGTAGGAAACCCAAAAGGCGGCAGCCGTTTGAATCTTGCGCATGAGGAAGACAGCTGTGGGGCTGTACAGGGCCAATGGTGTGAAGCCACGTGGTATCGAAAAGATGTCCCTGTCTATACAGTTGTGCGATCAATGACAAGACTACTGGCTCAATTCAGAAGGCCGACCAAGTAGTACCTCGGTCGTGATGGTAATCCCAATCACGCTCGGCTCGGACGGGATTAAGGGGCAATTAAGAGGGAGAATTGCGCCGAGATAAGTACGGCCAAGCTACACTAATGCAAGTTATCATGACCGGACTGTTTGCTTGGTCAGAGCGGCTCCATGGGCTGTCATGCAGGGCCAAGCTGGATCAGTCGACCGGAGCATGGGGTCATTCGTGTTCCTGGCCAAGCTGTGATTCGGCTAGGCGTTCGGCTGGGCATTCGTGTTCCTGACTAGGACCGGACCAAGCATAGCCCGGAATGAATTTAGACCAGGGCAAAGGCCGGTGCGCCTCACGACCAGTCAGTCCGGAAGGACCGACTTCTTATAGCTCGGTCATATTGACCGTAGCTCTGTTTCTTCAAGGGATAGGTCGGTCTTGATATCCCGGTTGAGTGTGCCACTTGGGCCAATGATGTGGTGGAGGCCAAAACCCGCTCCAAGCACGCGTCAATACTGTTTGGCAGTTATACACGTACTATTTGGAGGTTTTGGTCTTTACACGCGTAAGGTGGTGAGAGGCGAGCACTGCCACTTGTCCAGGGAAGGACAGCAGAGGTAGTGCGCGCACAATCCCCGAGGCTACATGGCCAGCCTAGAAAAAGAAATGAAGGGGAACGTTGGCGGTAAGCTGTCTGAACAACTCTCTCTCTCTCCAAAAAGATCTCTCTTCTTCTTCAAGTGACCTGACTTGATCGTCGGAGGGTCTATCCAGCAACACACCACCGAACAGCTCACCGTTTCTTTGTTCCAGGTCAGACGTCGTTACGTGAAGCTTGAGTTCAAGGAGTACGGAAAGCAAAGGATATTTCGTCTCCGTACACCTGGCATGAAACGCCATGAGTTTTGAATGCCCAGTAAACGCACACACACCTCGTCCCTTTTTCCCAATCCAATACACCATCACATTCATAGCAAGCAAGTAGTGAAACATGATATTCAAGTCAATAACAGCAAATTTCAATAATAAAGGAAATGAACATATCATTCAAATAGATAACAAAGGTTATAATGTTAGTGGTTAGTATTCTAGAAATCCCCCAAAGAGATTTCATCCTCCCAACCACAAGAGTTGGATACTAGACTATTCGGAACTCCCCATTTTGCTGCTTTGTTGCAGAACTAACCTCGGATGCCTACCAACGGTTATTTACCGCGTAGCGCCAACCGCAGGGCCTCAAAAGGGACAGCGAAAAGAAAAATGTTTTATCTCCTGAATCCGAGCTTATCCTTCCAAAAAAGTTTTATCCTCCTAAATGTCCCATCCGGACCCAACCTTATCTCACCCATCAAACCATTACAAAGAGTCCGAATACGTCCATTCTATTCTAGGGTTTACGCGACAACCGCTTGCGCAAGACTTAACCTCCAATTAGGGAGCACATCCCATCAATCCATACATAACACATTATCATCTCTTCAATATCCAAGTGATCGAAGACCCAATACCACCCCAATTAAGTTTCCCGTTGAGTTAAATGTTTTAAATTAAAGTTAGAACAAATTAACAAGGTAGTAATATCCGCATAAGCATGAACATCATCAATTGAAGAAGATAAGAAACATAACCATAACATATGCAATATCATACTAAGACATGATCACGTACTAATAAGCATATTCATGAACACAAAAGCATAAAACACCCATGCAGAACTAAATTTCCAGATTCAATACCATTTAAAGATTAAAATCAAAAGGGATATTTCAGATCTTTCCCGAACCTAGCCTTCCTATGGTTCGTAGAGAATTTAATCTAGTTTTCAGAACATGTTTTGGAAATGTGACAGTTTTTTCTAGATTTTTAGTTATTTAAGAAATGTTTCAACGCTGTCCAAATTCGTCGACCATTACGAAAATTGGATTTTCTTACAAACCGCTCACTCTTTTTCAATGAAACCAATTTGCCTTGAAAGCTAACTCCTTAAGGAAGAATTGGTCATAAAATTGAGGTCCAGAAGATTTTTATAAATTTTTCTAAAATTTTGGAAAGTTGGCTATAAAATAGATTTTTCTAGCACAGTTCTTACAACAAGAAAGTTGGTGAGAAAAGAGGTCAACTAGGGGAAAATTTTCACTTATCTTGTGATGAAAATTTGATAAATAATATGTATTAAACTCAGAAATTTAAGGTGAAGGTGTGCCTTTGGAAATTTTGAGAGTTTGATATGGAAAAAGGTAGTCTTATACTGATTAAGAGAAATACAAGAAGGGTAGAATCAAGGCTCAACTCCTTTCATTTTTAACACAAGAATACCATTAGAACACATTTGAAAAATACCATTTTAAACTTCTAATAACATGTATTTGGAAAAGGAAAATGAAAGAGAGAGTTGTGTTGTGGCTTACTTGATTGCCTAGTGACGTGTTTGCACAATTGTCTCCTCTTTTCCTCTCCTCTACTACCAAAGTTCACTCTTTTCCTCTTCTTTCTTTCTCTCAACTGAATGTGTAGGTGTGCAAGTGTATGAGATGTGTAACATGTGGAGGGTGGTGGTGTTTTTATAACAAAATTGGTGTAAAAGGTCCAAAATGCCCATTGGTTGGAATGGAATGGAATTGAGATGTATTTAGTTGGAATGTAATGGAATGAAGGATCATTTAGGAGTGTAATCATGTATTAAGGCATGATCTAGTTAGGGTTAGGCTTAAGTAGAACCAAGATAGTTACAAGTACAAGACAATTTTCTGTGAATTATGGTACCAATGTCAAATTTTCCTCCATGAATCATGCAATGTTGCCTCCAAAAATACACAACAAGTGTATATGCTAGGGTGGCTGGCCATGTGCCAGATTTG